AACCAAATAACTGCTGCATCATTATGGGCGCCTAGCAAACCTCAGAACAGCATTCCGACATCTTAATAAGGAATCATTCAGGACCCTGTACACCGTGTACGTTAGGCCATATTGGAGTATGCGGCACCAGTTTGGAACCACACCTAGCCAAGCACGTAAAGAAACTAGAGAAAGTGCAAAGGTTTGCAACAAGACTAGTCCCAGAGCTAAGAGGTATGTCCTACGAGGAGAGGTTAAGGGAAATCAACCTGACGACACTGGAGGACAGGAGAGATAGGGGGGACATGATAACGACATACAAAATACTGAGAGGAATTGACAAGGTGGACAAAGACAGGATGTTCCAGAGATTGGACACAGTAACAAGGGGACACAGTTGGAAGCTGAAGACACAGATGAATCACAGGGATGTTAGGAAGTATTTCTTCAGCCACAGAGTAGTCAGTAAGTGGAATAGTTTGGGAAGCGATGTAGTGGAGGTAGGATCCATACATAGCTTTAAGCAGAGGTATGATAAAGCTCACGGCTCAGGGAGAGTGACCTAGTAGCGATCAGTGAAGAGGCGGGGCCAGGAGCTCGGACTCGACCCCCGCAACCTCAACTAGGTGAGTACACACACACACAACACACACACGCGTACCTGCATGTACGTGAGTTATACATCTTCACGTGCATCACTTGTAAATTATCATAAATCAATATAGAGCAGGTGGCTGGATGATGAATGTGAGTGCTTGTCTCACTGTGTGCATACACATTGACTACCCTATCTGTATACAGCTACAGTTATCATGTATAATCTCTACACAACCACAAGTACTATGTATACAACTTGTCTGGGTCTTATCTAACATATATATGTACCATACAGGTGAAGTTACCATGTATATGTTTCTCAGTCATTGGTAACAATAGTCTTCCTCACACTTCACAATCAGTATATGTAGCAGTATACATACATCCCCCATAGTCACAGTATTTGTAGTAGTATATGTACACTCCTATAGTCACAGTATTTGTACACTCCTAGTCACAGTATATGTAGTAGCATATGTACACTCCTACAGTCACAGTATATGTAGTAGCATATGCACACTCCTACAGTTACATTATATGTGTGTTTTTATTTAGGTATCGCTTTCATAACATACAATTTTTTTATCAATGCTCTTGAGAGCACAGTTTGCACACCTACAGAGTGCGTTACAATTTAGTTAACACTACTAACTTAATAACATCATTGGTTTTTTTTATAGGTAGCAACGTATGTTATTCTTTCATAGTTAATAATATATAACATATTGTACTCTCTCTGCACACACCACACAGTTGTGTAGCATATACAGTATATACCTGCCCAATAAGTCATCATGATATTAAAGTATTTTACCCTGCACTACATCTATGATGTGAAGCAACATACAGTATATTACTCTGCCCTATCATTTTTATGTAACATGTGTTCTCCAAATAATACAAGTATGTGCAGCAAACATACAGTATATACTCTGCCCACTTCACAGTATTATATAAAATGTGTACTCTCCCTGCACATATACACACAGTATGTGTAGCAATATACAGTATATACTCTGCCCACATAGTCACAGTATATATAACAATGTGTACTCTCCCTGCACATATACACACACAGTATGTGTAGCAATATACAGTATATACTCTGCCCACACAGTCACACTATATATAAGTGTACCTTTCCATGTCAGGGTTAGCGGAACCCCCTGGTAACGCTGCAGCTGTCCATGAGGCTAAGTTTCCACTATGACGCAACTTACTTCCCCTGTTCCACTGCGCTACAATAACCTTCCTCCCACAGGTGATCATTGTTATCTTCAGGGGGAAGTGTTAAACTTGTAAGGCTCATACAACGCCTGGGGAATGGCAGAGTATCTCATTTGACGATACAGTCTCTTTACATTAGACACAAATAACATGCACATAGGAGAGAGGAGCTTGTGCACATTGGACAGAGGAGCTTGTGCACATGAGAGGAGCTTGTGCACATAGGAGAGAGAAGCTTGTGCACATAGGAGAGAGAAGCTTGTGCACATAGAGAGGAGCTTGTGCACATATCGAGAGAGGAGCTTGTGCACATAAGAGGAGCTTGTCCTATGTGCGGGTTATTTGTGTATCGTTTCAGTCACGGTATTGTGCCTTTTTGCTCTTCACATTAACATTTTTGTTTTAACATAAAAAACTGTTACTTAAAAATATTACGTTTAATAATCTTATCTTCGGACAACTTAACTATTAAATTTAGCTTACAAAATCTAACTTCCTCTAAACAACTGTAATGTATACATCGAGTGCCACCGAGTTAATCTGTTCTAGGCATAAGTTTGGGTCTGTATACTAAGCAACACAGACCCAAACTTATGCCTAGAACAGATTAACTCGGTGGCACTCGATGTATGCACAAGGCTTATTCCTCTAAGAAAAAGGAGGAGTAGATGTAAAATAGAAAGAGACAGGCGCTCCCTTTACAGGCGACGGAAAAGAATAACAGAGCGGCTAAAAGAGGTCAATATATCAGAAATGCGCAGGGAGACACTGGTCAGAGAAATAGCAAGCATCGAACTTAAGCTAAAGAATCCTTAGGAGTCGGGAATCGCGGGAAGAAACTAAAAGCCATAAATGAAATCGAAAGAAACCCAAAGTATTTCTTCTCCTATGCCAAATCAAAATCGAGAACAACGTCCAGTATTGGGCCCCTACTTAAACAAGATGGGTCCTACACAGATGACAGCAAGGAAATGAGTGAGCTACTCAAGTCCCAATAATGACTCAGTTTTTAGCAAGCCCCTAACCAGACTGAGAGTCGAGATCAAAATGAAATTTTTTTTGAGAGAGCCACAAAATTTGATTAACACAAGCCTATCCGATGTTTATCCTGACGCCAAATGACTTCGAACAGGCGATAAATGACATGCCCATGCACTCTGCCCCAGGGCCAGACTCATGGAACTCTGTGTTCATCAAGAACTGCAAGAAGCCCCTATCACGAGCCTTTTCCATCCTATGGAGAGGGAGCATGGACACGGGGGTCGTCCCTCAGTTACTAAAAACAACGACATAGCCCCACTCCACAAAGGGGGCAGTAAAGCAACAGCAAAGAACTACAGACCAATAGCACTAACATCCCATATCATAAAAATCTTTGAAAGGGTCCTAAGAAGCAAGATCACCACCCATCTAGAAACCCATCAGTTACACAACCCAGGGCAACATGGGTTTAGAACAGGTCGCTCCTGTCTGTCTCAACTACTGGATCACTACGACAAGGTCCTAAATGCACTAGAAGACAAAAAGAATGCAGATGTAATATATACAGACTTTGCAAAAGCCTTCGACAAGTGTGACCATGGCGTAATAGCGCACAAAATGCGCGCTAAAGGAATAACAGGAAAAGTTGGTCGATGGATCTATAATTTCCTCACTAACAGAACACAGAGAGTAGTCGTCAACAGAGTAAAGTCCGAGGCAGCTACGGTGAAAAGCTCTGTTCCACAAGGCACAGTACTAGCTCCCATCTTGTTCCTCATCCTCATATCCGACATAGACAAGGATGTCAGCCACAGCACCGTGTCTTCCTTTGCAGATGACACCCGAATCTGCATGACAGTGTCTTCCATTGCAGACACTGCAAGGCTCCAGGCGGACATCAACCAAATCTTTCAGTGGGCTGCAGAAAACAATATGACGTTCAACGATGAGAAATTTCAATTACTCAGATATGGTAAACATGAGGAAATTAAATCTTCATCAGAGTACAAAACAAATTCTGGCCACAAAATAGAGCGAAACACCAACGTCAAAGACCTGGGAGTGATTATGTCGGAGGATCTCACCTTCAAGGACCATAACATTGTATCAATCGCATCTGCTAGAAAAATGACAGGATGGATAATGAGAACCTTCAAAACTAGGGAGGCCAAGCCCATGATGACACTCTTCAGGTCACTTGTTCTATCTAGGCTGGAATATTGCTGCACTCTAACAGCACCTTTCAAGGCAGGTGAAATTGCCGACCTAGAAAATGTACAGAGAACTTTCACGGCGCGCATAACGGAGATAAAACACCTCAATTACTGGGAGCGCTTGAGGTTTCTAAACCTGTATTCCCTGGAACGCAGGAGGGAGAGATACATGATTATATACACCTGGAAAATCCTAGAGGGACTAGTACCGAACTTGCACACGAAAATCACTCACTACGAAAGCAAAAGACTTGGCAGACGATGCACCATCCCCCCAATGAAAAGCAGGGGTGTCACTAGCACGTTAAGAGACCATACAATAAGTGTCAGGGGACCGAGACTGTTCAACTGCCTCCCAGCACACATAAGGGGGATTACCAACAGACCCCTGGCAGTCTTCAAGCTGGCACTGGACAAGCACCTAAAGTCAGTTCCTGATCAGCCGGGCTGTGGCTCGTACGTTGGTTTGCGTGCAGCCAGCAGCAACAGCCTGGTTGATCAGGCGCTGATCCACCAGGAGGCCTGGTCACAGACCGGGCCGCGGGGGCGTTGACCCCCGAAACTCTCTCCAGGTAAACTCCAGGTGAGTTCCACTAACAGTCATCCCGCATTGTTCTGAGTAACCAGAAGCCTCTTACAATTTTTTAAATAAATTTCACCTAATTTTGCAAGTATACATATTTTGAAAAGAAATTTGAACGAGGATAGCTTTAATTCCTTTGATGGTGAGTCCTATGTCAGCATGAAGGCATCCCCCAGTGAAGAGTAACAAGTGGAAGGTTTGGGTTACTGAGAGGGAGGAGAGGTGGGGCAACCTGTCCTCTTAACGCACATATATAAGCATCTATGTGGATTTCTCATGTACAGATTGTGTTTGGTTACGTTAGATTAGGTTAGGTTTCGTTACTTTGTCCTGTATTCATAAAAAAAATTATAACATACCACAAACGAATTGGTAGAAGGTAAGAGGGAATGATGTAGGGACAGCAGGCAGTAAGATAGATCTAGAGGTAAAAAAGATAAAAGGGAAGTAGAGAGGAAGAGAGAAGCAGTAATCATCTTGTATTATCAACAGCAGCAACAAACAGCCGGGTTGGGTGTAGGTGTGGTCATTCCTGAAGGTGACCTAGCTGAAGAAGGTGGCGCTGCACATGATCTAGGATACTATCCACCAACTGCCCCCCTCCTGCCACGACCATTACCTACGCCCACACAGCCTCCACCACGCCCACTGCCACCTACACAACCTCCACCACGCCCACAGCCACCTATTCCCACACAGCCTCCACCACGTGCACAGCCACCTGCGCAGCCTCCTAGACCTATCAGAAAGCCTTATAATCGTCGTCCTACTCAGCCTTCCATCAGGTATATATATCTTTCAGTGAAATCATCTAAAACTCAAGTATTTATTTATATAAAAAAAAACGGTGAATAGGTAAGTCACAAAATCTGTACAAAATATTTTTTTTTATAGTTCGCATTACACATAGCATTTATAGGCAGGTCAATAATACAGTTACTTTTGAATGTACATAGATCTCCAGATGGTGGATATATAAAGTATTTTGAATGATATATACTTGTTGAGGGGTCATTATTTTTATCTGCTAATGTGAATTATATTTTAATGTTTAGGATCGACACTTGCATTGTGGGAGATGACTCGACATGTCAGGAGCAGCTGGGGGAAGTATGCAGGACAGAGGATGAAGTGTCTAGCTGCTACTGCAGACCCGGCACTGCCAGGCGCAGGCCCAGGACACCTTGCAGGAGTGAGACACTTGTTCTGCCTTTACACTCCACATATAATACATGCAGTTGCCCAAAACACTAGGAACCTGTAGATAAACCATGATCATGGCTCTGTTCCTGTGGCTACATCTAGATACCCCCTTTATAGAGAGTACCTTGATACTGTTGATGGTCTGTTGATCCAAGAAATTGGAGCTACTCTCCCCTTCACCTCAAACCAAATTACCTCCCATTCCTAAATGCTTCATAGCCATCATAGATTTAACATTTCTAAGAACATCTCAATACAAATTGGTACCATGATCTCATACACAAGCACACATGTATGTGTCAGCACATGTTAGATCTGTGGAGCTGGTTATAACTTGTCTCAGCAGCGATGTATGACCCTTGTGGGTTTAGCGTTTAATAATGATTATAATAGTAATAATATCTTGTCTCGGTATTTCTCCATTATTACCGTAGTGTTGTCCAGTATTATAGTACCTTAATGTCCACTATTATTGACTTGATTGCAAACAAACCATACCACCGTGATGCTACAGGCCAGCTTTAGCACTTTATATCTTCTGCAGGGATGATCTCGCTGCAAGTGTCGCTGAAGGTGGACCGGGTGGGTGACCAACGTATCGTGTGGGGAGGCAACTATGAGAACCCAGAGTCTGAGGAGTACCGGCTACTGCAGTGGGAGGCCAGACATGCTGTATGTCATACTCATTATCCTACATCTAGGTTCTGCAGGCCAATGTTCACTTTCCTAATTTAGGACTCAGTTTTTATTTAAGATTTAGGGGCCAGGGATGGTTAAGAGATGCAACCTGGTTACAATTTACTCACAAATTAAGAGATAAATCTTAAGATATTTTGATCATTATAGATCATTATCAAGTCATGTGAGTTGACACTGGTCCAAGATGGACCTTTCATCTAAAGATTTATTTCCAATTTGTGAGTTACATATATAAGTTTATTCAGGTATAGGTACACATAAATACAGTTACATAAATTATCATACATATCAGCACATATGTAGATTACTATTGGGGTCCTTGACCCCTTGAATTGTTCCACCTTAGTAATGTGACTTATTCTTTGTGTTCTAAGGTTCTGTAAGGTGACTCAGCTTACTGTAGATCATGGTCATACTGTTTAGGGTCATAAAGTAAACAGTGAAAAACTTGGACAATTCTGATCTGAGCAAACACTGGTGTGTCTTTGGATCTGCTCCTGGGTATCTCTCTGCCTTCTCACCATAGTTCTTGATGATACAGCGTTTGATTATGTGCACACTAGTGTTTACTGCTCATGCTGGTGATCAAACTCTGGCCAGAAGATAAACTGAACTATTCTGATATTTACACCAAAGGCACTTTTCAGGTTGTTTATATTGAACTATGGACTATTGTCCATCAGATTTGATATATACTGTAGTGATAACCTTATACTCTATATAAAAGATCATGTAAATGTGTTGCTCAGTTGTTTATACAATAAACAACAATCAAGGTAATGTTTCCCTTGGTTAATATTAGCAGGGCAAGAAAATGTATACTGTACACTACTAAGAATATCTTCACGGACTTCTTGACATATCAAAGATTAAAGAGTGCCATGAAAGATATATTGTCACTGTAAATTAAAAGCTAAATAATATTGATCCAACTCTACTGAGAAATAAAATATCACTGATATTTGACCAGATCTCAAGCACCATGTCAAAGACGCCTTTGGGATCAGCATACCTAGGCAACACCGTGCACAAGTTCTACTCCCTGGGTGGGAAAGTGATCGTTAATTCGACCATCAACCTAGAAGACCTTCCCTCCACCAGAAGCCGTAGTGTCCGTCAAGCCCTCCAGCGCCAGATGATCCAAGTCATCCAGAATCATGCCAATAACATAGGCGAGTCGGCTCTCTGGGTCGATGGCCCTCTTAACCCCATCCCTGATGTCTCAGGTGAGGAATAAGTGTTCTTTTATCTTTTTTTCCCTTATTAAAAATATTGTTTAGTACCTGCTTTCTGTTGTCTACTGAGCTCTAACAATTTTACAATGCATCTTAAAGCAAGATAAAATGCCATTTTTCTAACAATTTTACAATGCATCTTAAAGCAAGATAAAATGCCATTTTTCTATCTCCAGTCTTTGAGCTATGCTAAGAAAAGGTAACAGCCTTCTCTATTTTGTTGATTATCAGTGTTGTTGGTTATGCTGCTTATCCTTGTGATATGTATGTTTGTTTCCTTCACTGTGTGACTAGGGGTCTTGTTGGTGTATCTTGTTACTTGCATCTCTCCTTCGGCAGATGTGAATGAGTGTTTTGATGAGTCACTTTACGACTGTCACCCTGATGCCACCTGCATCAATGAGTTTGGCACTTTCACATGCCGTTGTCTGCCTGGGTACACTGACAGGTGAGTTATTACATTGTTTTGACTGGTTACTACATAGAGTGCTGTGGCATTAGTTAGGTGAACTCTACATTTACTTGTGATTTTATGTTAATAAAACCAGTTATAATAAGTCTCCTTCACAAACTTAAAAATGTATGTTTACATCATAAATTGTACTACCTCATATTAATAATAGAGTAAAATATTGAATATTTGTCTTCACCTGTCTAGACTTAAGTAGTCTATAAGTATTAGGTTAAGTCTGCCCAAAGTGCCTCTGCATGATAGTGGCTTTCTTTGTACCAATCAAATTATGAAATGTAAACACACATTGTAACCTTAGCAAAGAAATAAAATTTTATTTATCTTATTTATATCTCAATTTTCAGGCTGCACATTTGAGCGTACATATTATCTTATTTCTGTAATGTGAGTAAGAGGCCTTCTGTCTGCGAGACGACCACTCCCGCTGATCACTTTGATGATTATATATTCACAAAAATGTAAACTTGTCACTCCGAGTTTGAATTTCTGCTTTACTAACATACAAGTTTAATTAAGGCAATTTCCTTGCAGGTTCGCTGATGATGCTGAGCAGGTTGGGCGGCGGTGCGAGTCATGTTCCTCTGACTACTGCAACAAGAGGGGAGAGTGTGCCATCAAGGAGGGTCACAAGCTGTGCCAGTAAGTGACACTCCTCTATCTTACTACAGTACTGTCTATGGTTTGGTAATATTGCCACCAACAATATAACCATGCACCACCATCTTTATTATCAGTGGTACCACTACCACTACCTCCACCATCACTATTGCTATCAACATCACTACCATTACTGTCACAACCACCATTACTATCACCTCCACTCCTTCACCACCCTTCCCACCTCCTTCAGTGCTACTATCACCACAGCTATCACTATCTCCACCTCCACTATCACTATCCCCAATTCCATTGCCTCTAACCACCCTCAATTTCACCACTGATGACACAAATATTACCAGTGTCCCTGCATCACCCCGCCAAAGTTATTGTAATATATATTTGTGATCAATTTTGTTTTCTATTTTCAGATACAGTAGAGTTTTAACTGTTTATTTCTCAAGATGACCCTTGTGGGTTTAGTGCTTAGTTTTCATTGTAATAATATTTCTCAAGACAAAATACAGTTTAAAGAAATGCTGATATATCAAGAAAACACCTTAAATACTTTTTTTTTTTTTTAAGTTACAGTAACTTTTAACTTGTGAGACCACTTATTGAGACAAGAACTTAGATCCTTCAACTTCTTGTCTCATAAAGGTATTATTGGGATAAATATTGCAGGCCTTTAGGTTATCACATTAAACACCTAACTAAATGTGTGTCCAGACATGACCTGGAACTAGTCATAGTAAATATTATACACTGCTCCAATCTGAGCAGTGTTGTATTTTAGTAATAAGATGCAACTAATAGAATAAAATGGGAAAAAAATTGAATGGTATTCTCATGGAGCATTGATCCCCAACATTTTTACAATACAATTTTTTTATAGTAACCTGGAACTGCAGTAGAAAATTTTGTAAAAATAAATAAAATATCAGTAACTTTTTTTTTTTTTTTTTTTTTTTTCAACAAGTCGGTCGTCTCCCACCGAGGCAGGGTGACTATGAATAGAAAAAAGCTAATGAGTTTCAACAATTCATAGTATAGATATAATGTATTGCATGTATCATTATATGTATTTAACATAATTAGGATGTGCCCACAGAAACATAACTTCAAGTTCTTCTTGAAAGTTAAAGTCTTGCAGATCCCCTAGAAAGTTTTATGGACTAAAAGTGGGTTGGAGTCCACAGGTTGGGAAACACTGTTCTAGAAAGTAGTATAGGTAAATGCCTCAACAGATGTCGAGGGTCTTACTATGGCACCCGATGTGAAATCGATGGGGAGGTGTTGGGTGTGGCTGTTGGTGCCTCCGTTGCTGCAGTAGTCATCATCATTCTCACCCTTATCTTCCTGTGCATGTGGAGGTCAGTCACAGGCTTATTGTTTTTGTTTTCTAGCTGTTTTAAGATACTGAGATTACCTATTTGTGATTACACTAGCTGAGCTGTGTGTGTTTTGTATATACATGTGTATGTGTGTGTACATTTACTTTATCCTCATTTGAATAATTTAGTGTCAGTTTTTTTATAAGAGTTATGCTGCAGTGAATTGCTGTATGTTATCATGGTCATTATCTTTTAGTTATTGAGCCCCTTGTATCCCAAAATGCTCATGCTTGCTTGTGGCTTTCATTGTGCTTAACAACACTTGATTACATGTAAACTACTGTTTGTATGCTACACAAAGAAATAAAATTTTGATTTGAGTTATCCTTTGAGCATGGGGGACGTTTGTCATTAAAGTCCTTGTACAGTAGTGTCACTGCTATTCCTTGATATATGTCTTCTTAGGTTTGAATCACTGATACAAATTTTCTACACATGAACCCCTCAAGGGAGGTTCCTTGATGCTGGTGAGGGGCTCTTGATGTAGGGAATTAGATTTGTGCTCCGGTTCCTTGAATTGAGCCTGAATACCTTCCATCCCCCCTCTACATGCACTGTATAATCCTACGGATTTAGCACGCCCCTATGATTATAATAATAATCTACACATGATGAATTAGCATTGTTGCATCTTACTGTATATATTATAAATATTAAACACTAAACTCCTCTCCCTCAATCTTCTGCCCTGAATAGCCGACGATGGAAGGCCGAAGATAGAAAAACCGAGGTGCTGGCACGTGGTGGAGGAATTGGTGGATTCGCTGTCAACGTGCAACACAAGGGAGCTTCAGCGGGTCACCAGTATGGAGCAACTCTTGATGACCGCATGCGCTGGGCACACCTAGCTGATACACTCTCCAGCCAAAACATTTATGCGGTGAGTCCTGGACCCCAATGGTGTCTTACATAACATGTGCTCTGACCAAAACATTATTGTAGGGAGCCCTAACTTCTCATTGGTGACTTGCTTCTCATATGACACATGCTCAGCTCAGAACTTGTGTGTGATACATCCAACACTATAATTGGTATAGAACGTGTGAACCACACAATGAAGAAAACTAATGGATATTTTATCGGTACGCCTAATTCAGATGTACGTATATTTTAAAAAGAAGTAAACAGTACAGAAGTAATGTAACATATCATTAATGTTATATATTTAAAATCTAAATTAATTTGTACAAAAACATTATTTACTAAACATCAGTCTTGCACAAAAAAGTATAGTACGTACATATCTGTTCTAGAAAGATTGTGACCACTCAAAGAAAATAGTGAGCCATGCGTGTTGTATGAGGCGACTAAAATGCCGGGAGCAATGGGCTAGTAACCCCTTCTCCTGTAGACATTTACTAAAAAAGAGAAGAAGAAAAACTTTATAAAACTGGGATGCTTGAATGTGCGTGGATGTAGTGCAGATGACAAGAAACAGATGATTACTGATGTTATGAATGAAAAGAAGTTGGATGTCCTGGCCCTAAGCGAAACAAAGCTGAAGGGGGTAGGGGAGTTTCGGTGGGGGGAAATAAATGGGATTAAATCTGGAGTATCTGAGAGAGTTAGAGCAAAGGAAGGGGTAGCAGTAATGTTGAAGGATCAGTTATGGAAGGAGAAAAGAGAATATGAATGTGTAAATTCAAGAATTATGTGGATTAAAGTAAAGGTTGGATGCGAAAAGTGGGTCATAATAAGCGTGTATGCACCTGGAGAAGAAGGAAATGTAGAGGAGAGAGAGAGATTTTGGAGATGTTAAGTGAATGTATAGGAGCCTTTGAACCAAGTGAGAGAGTAATTGTGGTAGGGGACCTGAATGCTAAAGTAGGAGAAACTTTTAGAGTGTGGTAGGTAAGTTTGGGGTGCCAGGTGAAAATGATAATGGGAGCCCTTTGATTGAACTTTGTATAGAAAGGGGTTTAGTTATAGGTAATACATATTTTAAGAAAAAGAGGATAAATAAGTATACAAGATATGATGTAGGGCGAAATGACAGTAGTTTGTTGGATTATGTATTGGTAGATGAAAGACTGTTGAGTAGACTTCAGGATGTACATGTTTATAGAGGGGCCACAGATATATCAGATCACTTTCTAGTTGTAGCTACACTGAGAGTAAAAGGTAGATGGGATACAAGGAGAATAGAAGCATCAGGGAAGAGAGAGGTGAAGGTTATAAACTAAAAGAGGAGGCAGTTAGGGTAAGATATAAACAGCTATTGGAGGATAGATGGGCTAATGAGAGCATAGGCAATGGGGTCGAAGAGGTATGGGGTAGGTTTAAAAATGTAGTGTTAGAGTGTTCAGCAGAAGTTTGGGTTACAGGAAAGTGGGTGCGGGAGGGAAGAGGAGCGATTGGTGGAATGATGTAAAGAGAGTAGTAAGGGAGAAAAGTTAGCATATGAGAAGTTTTTACAAAGTAGAAGTGATGCAAGGGGGAAGAGTATATGGAGAAAAAGAGAGAGGTTAAGAGAGTGGTGAAGCAATGTAAAAAAAAAGCAAATGAGAGAATGGGCGAGATGTTATCAACAAATTTTGTTGAAAATAAGAAAAAGTTTTGGAGTGAGATTAACAAGTTAAGGAAGCCTAGAGAACAAATGGATTTGTCAGTTAAAAATAGGAGAGGATAGTTATTAAATGGAGAGTTAGAGGTATTGGGAAGATGGAGGGAATATTTTGAGGAATTGTTAAATGTTGATGAAGATAGGGAAGCTGTGATTTCGTGTATAGGGCAAGGAGGAATAACATCTTGTAGGAGTGAGGAAGAGCCAGTTGTGAGTGTGGGGGAAGTTCGTGAGGCAGTAGGTAAAATGAAAGGGGGTAAGGCAGCGGGGATTGATGGGATAAAGATAGAAATGTTAAAAGCAGGTGGGGATATAGTTTTGGAGTGGTTGGTGCAATTATTTAATAGATGCATGGAAGAGGGTAAGGTACCTAAGGATTTGCAGAGAGCATGCATAGTTCCTTTGTATAAAGGCAAAGGGGACAAAAGAGAGTGCAAAAATTATAGGGGGATAAGTCTGTTGAGTATACTTGGTAAAGTGTATGGTAGAGTTATTATTGAAAGAATTAAGAGTAAGACGGAGAATAGGATAGCAGATGAACAAGGAGGCTTTAGGAAAGGTAGGAGGTGTGTGGACCAGGTGTTTACAGTGAAACATATAAGTGAACAGTATTTAGATAAGGCTAAAGAGGTCTTTGTGGCATTTATGGATTTGGAAAAGGCATATGACAGGGTGGATAGGGGGGCAATGTGGCAGATGTTGCAGGTGTATGGTATAGGAGGTAGGTTACTGAAAGCAGTGAAGAGTTTTTACGAGGATAGTGAGGCTCAAGTTAGAGTATGTAGGAAAGAGGGAAATTATTTCCCAGTAAAAGTAGGCCTTAGACAAGGATGTGTGATGTCACCGTGGTTGTTTAATATATTTATAGATGGGGTTGTAAGAGAAGTAAATGCGAGGGTCTTGGCAAGAGGCGTGGAGTTAAAAGATAAAGAATCACACATAAAGTGGGAGTTGTCACAGTTGCTCTTTGCTGATGACACTGTGCTCTTGGGAGATTCTGAAGAGAAGTTGCAGAGATTGGTGGATGAATTTGGTAGGGTATGTAAAATTAGAAAATTAAAAGTGAATACAAGAAAGAGTAAGGTTATGAGGATAAAAAGATTAGGTGATGAAAGATTGGATATCAGATTGGAGGGAGAGAGTATGGAGGAGGTGAATGTATTCAGATATTTGGGAGTGGACATGTCAGCGGATGGGTCTATGAAAGATGAGGTGAATCATAGAATTGATGAGGGGAAAAGGGTGAGTGGTGCACTTAGGAGTCTGTGGAGACAAAGATTTTTGTCCTTGGAGGCAAAGAGGGGATTGTATGAGAGTATAGTTTTACCAACGCTCTTATATGGGTGTGAAGCATGGGTGATGAATGTTGCAGCGAGGAGAAGGCTGGAGGCAGTGGAGATGTCATGTCTGAGGGCAATGTGTGGTGTGAATATAATGCAGAGAATTCGTAGTTTGGAAGTTAGGAGGAGGTGCGGGATTACCAAAACTGTTGTCCAGAGGGCTGAGGAAGGGTTGTTGAGGTGGTTCGGACATGTAGAGAGAATGGAGCGAAACAGAGTGACTTCAAGAGTGTATCAGTCTGTAGTGGAAGGAAGGCGGGGTAGGGGTCACCCTAGGAAAGGTTGGAGGGAGGGGGTAAAGGAGGTTTTGTGTGCGAGGGGCTTGGACTTCCAGCAGGCATGCGTGAGCGTGTTTGAACGGAGTGAATGGAGACAAATGGTTTTTAATACTTGACGTGCTGTTGGAGTGTGAGCAAAGTAACATTTATGAAGGGGTTCAGGGAAACCGGCAGGCCAGACTTGAGTCCTGGAGATGGGAAGTACAGTGCCTGCACTCTGAAGGAGGGGTGTTAATGTTGCAGTTTAAAAACTGTAGTGTAAAGCACCCTTCTGGCAAGACAGTGATGGAGTGAATGATGGTGAAAGTTTTTCTTTTTCGGGCCACCCTGCCTTGGTGGGAATCGGCCAGTGTGATAATAAATAAAAAAAAAAAATTAGAATTTTTTTTCTAGAGTGATGATGTATTGTATTTATTTTGAATGTTGTCAATTTTTCCAGGTTTGACATGATTATTATTATTATTATAATCAAGGGGGAAGCGCTAAACCCGGAGGATTATACAGCGGTTTGACATGAAAGCTTGTTAATTTTTATAATATTAGAACTGTTATTTGACTGCAAGTTAAACAACCATTTGACAGAACTATCTTGTCTGGACAATGACTTCTGGTTGCCCTTGTGTTTGTTCTGTTCCCTAGTATATACAGTATAAGATAACTGTTGACTTGCAGTTATCCATTTCTGGTTGACACTTGTATGAGAAGCAACAAGACCGACTTTTAACCTTACACAGCAGCAGCAGCAGCAGCAGTATGGTGGAGGTGCATACACAGCGACAAGTAGCGACTACCTCACCTTGTCGGGTACTTCCACTACACCCTTCTCCATCTACAACCGTGTCACTCGGGCGCTCTCCAGCTCCACCTTAGGCAGGCGGCAGATGGGCTGGCTGGGACGTATCCGGAGGGCGCTGGGTGGCTCCAGGATGGCTAAAAGTCACAGGTCCACCCATACGCTGCCTGAGCAACAAACACTCACACTACAGCAACTTATGGCTCTTCATGCACAGCTCTCCCCCGTTAGTTGACGATTAATGCTCTTCTTGTTCTCTGCCTGGTTTGTCCCCACTACCTTGGTGCTTGTCATTCACCTCATTCTTTTTCTTCTGTACCTTTCATACAGTTTGTGACTATATGACACAATAACTTTTCTTGTTTGACAAGATATCCTCTAAATGTACTGTGACCTTATAACCCAATAACCTTCCTTGTAGTGTGGCCATATGACATAGTAGCTTTCTTTTTAGTGTGACCTTACAACCCAATGACCTTTTTTTTAATACGACTTGATGATATCCAGTATCCTTTGTATAGTGATCTGATCATGTTAGTATGCCTGGATGACAACTGTCCTCTTATGTGACCTGATGAGAGGTAGTTCTGGAGAGAGTTCCGGGGGTCAATGCCCCCGCTGCCCGGTCTGTGACCAGGCCTTATGGTGGATCAGGGCCTGATCAACCAGGCTGTTACTGCTGGCTGCACGCAATCCAACATTCGAATGACAGCCTGGCTGGTGTAGTATGACTGGGTGATAACCTCCTTGTGTGACCTGGTTGAGTGTAGCATGACTGGGTGATAACCTCCCTGTGTGACCTGGTGAGTGTAGTATGACTGGGTAACAACCTCCCTCTTGTGTGATTTAACTTTCTTCTTTAATTAGCATAATTTTATTTATAAGATATTTTATTGATATCTTTATTTGTACTTTCAAATTATCTGTGGCTAGTTTCTCAAGACCAAGTACAGCTACTACAGTGCTATAATGGTCTTCCTTATAGCTACTATAATGGTCTTCTTTATAAATACTATAATAGTCTTCTTTGTAGCTACAATAATATGTGTGCTTTAATGGTATCCTTCCTTGTAGCTCTTCTTTGTTCATTGTATTTCTAAGCCTACTTTATTAATAGACAAAGTAGAAAGTAGACAAGATAGAGAAGACAGTAGCTAAACTAGACCAGAAACAGTGCAAGATTTATAACCACACAAAGTAGACAAGAGGAAATACAGTAGGAAATGGATAGATGTGAAGGCAGAAGAAACATGTATTGTCATGCAGAGAGATCACTACAGCAATGTTCAGTCAAGCTTTGAGTAAAGCATTTGTTGACAGTGTCTTTGTTTTGTCTACAGCAACCAGAACAACTGAGAGGAGGACTGGGCAGTGTGTCTGCCTCACCCAGTGCCACTGCTGCTGCCCCAACCACTGTTTATCAACACCAGAGACAAGTTAGTTGAGTAACCACTGAATTAAGTTTTTCTTGTGTATGGATTTTTTTATTATCTCATGGGAGCAGGGGAAGAGTACTGAACTTTTGGGGGTCATTCACCACATGGAGAATGGGAGACAGTCAGGTTTGATCTAAGGAAGGGAAGGAGGCTTCCAGCATCAAGGAACCTCCCTTTAGGAGTACTTTCTCATACCTCACACACAAATGCTTCACAACCATATGCTGGTCAGCAGTGGTGAGTTTGCAGCACTTGTTGCCTAAATGTCTCGGTGCAGGCAACACTACTGCATGAGCCTCCATCTCAGTGCTGGTCATACTGAAGAGTGCTTGGCTCATAATTTGTAGTGATACAATACAGTACAGTAATGGTGCATTTTAATATACAGCCAAGTTACAAAAAGGTGAGTACGCACACACAAACACAAAAAAATAAATGCTGAAGTGACAGGTATTTATTTGCAGGCAGTTGGGTCATCGTCAGGGTATGCCTCGCTGGGCACACTGGGATCGACAGCCTCTCCCCAGTACAGCCACCAGTACCAACCTTCCCAACAGTTTGGCTTGCAACACCTCTCCCCTGTCACCCACCTCACCAGCATGCAACAACAACAGCAGCAGCAACAGCAGCAGTACCATAAACAGTCAGCCTTTAGTTCACAATCTACATATGGCCAGTTTGGACCAGCTTCCTTCAACACATTATGTAAGGTTTTAGATTATTGTACCAAAGGTACTTCTATTGTATTTAAAAGTAAGATTACTGTATGGCACTTATCTAGGTATGACAGTTACTAGACTTAATATTGTTATATATATGGGGAAGCACTCAACCCATTCAGGTCATGTAGTACCTGGAGAATGGCACTCAGGTTCAATCCAAGGAAAGGGAGTATAGTGCCCAGACTGCCAATTTCGTGCCTGTGTAATTCTGTAAGTTTTCCATCAAATTTTTCATTTTTGGTGTAAGTACCTCTACCATTTCAGATGATTAAAATTTTTTAATTGTGACACTGATGCCCCCTTTAATTACAGGGTCACAGTAGTGAAAGTGTGAAAAGACAGAGGTACTATACGTATCAGGCATTTTGAATGATTACAAGATGTTTATATATATGCATATAAAAGATAACAGTTTAGTAGAGCTAGACATGATTAGCTATATTGAAAATAATCCAAAAACAATTGACAGCCTTGTGATAGGAGTTTGAGAAACATTTTTATTAAGGCTCAGTAACACGGGTTATCGCTTAGTTTATAGAATACTTGATGTTGCAACATACAGTTAACATTACTAACAGTGTGGCCTTATTTGACCTTGTACAGCTCAGGGCGGAGTGTCTAGAGCGCCAACACTAGGAGCCCGCACTCCTTTGCCACTTCATGATGTGGGTGGTCCAGCCACAATTGGGCCCATGGGTGGGGGCAGTGTAGCTCCATCTGGATTGGCCATGGGGCTGGAGAGCTCCGAGGAAGAGGTTGAGAAACCTTATCATCTGCCACGGCCTAAATCTCGCGTCTCCCTTGGGGTGGGTACTCTTGCACCCCCAAACTCGCGCATCGCTCGAAGCTACAACTCTCTTCTCTTCTAGTGCTTGGTTGCTCATGAGGGCATCAATTAGAACTGTGAGAAGGGGGAGGGATGGGGCATGTTTACCACTCCTGGGGCATTACTGTTCCTCAGAGGAGCATTGAGGGGTAGGGACATGGGTCAAGTTATTTCAACCTGAAAAGTGATATCTACATAATCTACTCTCAATCTTGCTCTCATTCACAAGAATATTCTGTCTTGTTACTCTCTCTTACTATATTTATCTACTTTCCCTTATAGTAGTTTCCTGACTCCTTTCTCTTCAAGATTCCTCTAAAATGTTGCTTCTTCCTGTTACTTGTATCCATTTCCTCAGCAGTTTACTGACTGCTTTATTCATTGCCTGAATCATAACTTACTTTACATTGTTCACTCACTACCCTGCTCTTTTGCATTGATTTGCTCAGTCTCCTTATTGCTTCCATGGGTAAACAACATATACAGTAGATTGTGGCTCTTGTATTGGCAACATGTATGTATGTATGTATATTCACAAAGTTAAAGTAAAATTATATTTACCTACCTGTATTTGCTGAATTGTGCCTGTGGTGGTTGAGTTTCAGCTCTTGACCCCACCTCTTAACCTTCACTTCAGTAATGTAGTTTATTCTTGATCTCTAGGGCTCTATCTACTCATTAAAACATACCTGGAGTGCTTGTGCATATCTCTTCAATTTATACAGCATATGCTCAGTAACAACACACATGGAGACAGAAACTAAGAAGATTAATTGGTCTTTATATTTCAACCCCCCTGCTGGGGTCCTCTTCAGCAGATACACAAATGAAAGGAGAACATGAATTTATAGGAATGGTGTGCCTCTCAAACATGCAGATGAACATGGAGCAACAAGTCAAGGAGCGAGTGTGATGCAAGGTCTTGAGCTGAAGCTTAAAATTTAGGTGGAAATTTGTGTGTGCTATGTAATTCCTGATCTTGTGCTCCCAAATGTACTTGAACAGATAATAGATTTTTAAAATCAGGAAAATCCTGCATATCAGATCTTTTAAGGTGCTATAGTAGCCACAAAAATGATTTAAGAAACAGATAGGGTGATGGAATTTAGATTTAAAACAGCTTTTAATAAAGTTCCTCACATAAGACTAATTTAGAAACTTCAGAACAGGAGGAATAAAAGAAACTATAACAGTGAATGGGTGATTTTATGTTTAAAAATAAAGTATAAACAATAATAAGAGGAAAGCTGTTAGGGGAAATGTCACCAGTGAGGTCCCACAAAGATCAGTACTTATCCTCATCTTTCTAATTTATATAAATGACTTGGAAGAGGTAATATGTTATGCCAAAAATAACACAGTATACAGCAGTATTGTAACTGTCACACCATAAAACATGGATAAGATAGAGGAAGTACAAAGATATTTGAAATAGCTTCTACAGCTATTTATAATTAGGTGGAAGAACTACACTCAAGGGGTTATGCAGTGATATCCCAGAGCCAGAAAAAAAGTTATAAAGAAAGACTGAGAACAAATATAAAATGAGTTTTTTTTAGCACTATCAGCAAGGAGAGAGAGAGAGAGAAAAAAAAAAAAAAGTTGCAATTGTAAAAGAGAAAAGCATCAGCAAATGTACATATATGGTAAAGTAGGTCCTTGATTTATATTAATGTTTGACATTGTTTATAGGTACTAGACATTTAACAGATCCATGATACTGATGTTGTACTGTACAGTATAGCTTAGAGATGTGACAGTGAGGACTACTCATATATTTTCTAGATATATGATTCATACAAGGTTTGTGATACAGTTACTGGACCAGATATGTAAGTACAGTCCAGTGATTGATGAATCATACAGATGTATGATTCATCAATCAACATGTGATAACTGAATCTTAAGTGTGATTTAATTGTAAAATGTACAGTTCAGCTGATGTATGATTAAGCTTCCAGACATAATTTGGTTTTCACATGACTTGTCAAGGTGTGAATGGAAATTTGCATTTTTCTTTTTTTCATTCTGGCATGATTGCTTATCTTTTCTTTCTGTCTCATGAATATGTAAAATAATAGGTAACTCTTACAAACTTCAAACATTATATGCATGCCTTTACTTTCTTATGTGCTTCTTAATAGTCCTTAATCCTAGATATTTCCTTTCTAACCCAGTAGGCCTAGTCTGAGACCAAGCCATAGAGAAGATAATCCCCAGAACCATTAACAGATGTATAACTGTAGTGTAAAGCACCCTTCTGGCAAGACAGTGATGGAGTGAATGATGGTGAAAGTTTTTCTTTTTCGGGCCACCCTGCCTTGGTGGGAATCGGCCAGTGTGATAAAAAAAAATGCATAATCTAGCCACTAGACTGATGCATGATCCAGCTCTCATATTTACAATTCTGTTAGTGTACTTTTCATGGGATTCAACTCAGTGATAAAATACATATTTGATCTACCAGACATATGACCTGTTAGACATTCGATACAGCATTCAGTGAGAAGCAAGATTCAGTTGTTACTTGAATGTTTTGGCTATTAGAGGTATCTTATGTATGCAAGTTGAAGATCTCATTTGTATGACTTGGGTGTTAAGATGTAATAATTAGCTGGTAGATAAGATTCTGTGAGTGCATGTATAATTTACATATCAAACATACAACACACTGATCAGACTAGCAGACCCAAAATTGATCTATTAGTCAAGATTCAGGTTTCGATATTGAAATCACCTACCAGACATAGGATTCACCTTTCACACTTAGGATTCTTTATTACCCTAGTTCACTGTCCGATAAAGATTCTCAACTTTTTTTTTATCATATAACTTTCAACAGTTTTATTTTTAAACTTTATGTTGATACTCCATTTCTTGTAAAACTACAGGACTGTATGTTTATATAATTTTTTGTAGGGAAAGTGTTTGACAGTTGTTTTTGTTTAAAAGTACTGTATTAACCTTTTCTATTTATAAATAATAGCCATTTTTCTACTTTTATACAAAAATGAAAAGATTCATCTTTTTCTCAATATGGTTTTTGGTTTTCAAATTTGTCCTGTAGATGTAAGCAGTAGAATGTGTTAATACTTTTAAGCTTGTTTAATGGTTTGTATAAGTGATAAGTTGTCTGGCTTTTCAATTAGATAATTCCTATGGCTGCCTTTACTTTATTTATTTCCATGAATTACAATGTACTTCTGCGTTAGTATCTAGGCAAAATTCAGGCCTATGTCTTCATAAAATCGGTAGCCCTTAAACTTTCACAGCCTTTGAGAGGTTATAAGAAAAGTTCTTAATCTTTGGGAATAGTATATAGTAATAATTTTTATGCTAGGAAACTTTTTAGAAAAGCAAATACTGTATCATTTTAAGGAAATATTATTGTATGAATGTTTCAATCAGATGTGTGTGCATGAGTGGTCTAATGCATTACTTCTCTGACCCACACAGGATACGAGTGATATATATTACGAGCCAGATGACCTAATCACGACTCTGGGCCCCCCCGACCGACCTCCTCCCCCACTCCCCAAATCCAGTCATCCCCAGACATACAACTTTGCCTTCTTGCACTAACCTGTCTCTAAAACCAAGATTATGATGTTTAGTATATATATAGCATAATTTCCCTGGGTGCTACAGTCAATTATGCTAACAGTATGCTGATTTTGCAAACTTGTTTTAATAAAGAAGGGAAATTTGTTTGCATAAAGAGAAAATAAGTTTTATTATTTTTAATAAGCATCTATATTATTATAATCAAAGAGAGGCCCTAAAACACACAAGTATCTACAATTCTTGCATGTTTCTTTTGCACCAAGATTTAAGCCCAGAAATGCACAACTAAATACAGTACCATAGTACAAATTCATTTTAAAAATTACTTATTTGGAAATTCAACATATTACCACAAGTGTATTTTATCAGTCACCCTCCTGATCCACTACACAAAGGCCAGAGAACAGCCACATTGACTGGTAGATTAAACATTTATCGGGTTGCTGAATGTTTTATGGTGCATCAGTTATTTGGCAACTGTGTTGACTGTGGCACCTTGGAAGTAAGTGTTCTATAGGAAGACCATTATCACCCACAGACTTGACTATTCTTCATATTTCAAACATTGTCAAACAATCTTCTATGCCTGTCTATATTATGAATAACATACCATATCCATATTATTTCACAAAGAACACTGGTGTATAATTGGCAGTATGGACATGTTGATGCAACATTGTTTCAAAGTATCTGAGTGTATATAACTAACACAGAATTTATATTAAAAAGATTTTGTCCAGGGATGCACCCATGCTGTACAATAAATTAAAATTTTTTAATTATGTTGGTAGAATTACCAACTTGTTAGGGAAGAGAACATTTGCAATTTATGAGACATTTTATTGTGGTAACATTTTGCTCTCCATAAGTACATCAGCTTGACAAAACTGGAGACTGAAATAGCCACAATAAAAATGTCCCAATAGTTGCATATGTACTGTTTTACCTAACAGTTATAAACCTATTTATTGCTGTTTGTTAACATTTACAGACTTATGTTGCTACTAACTCCCTCTTGCTCATCCACATGAATCAAAGTTCTGAATTTAATATACAGTATTTCAGGAATCTTCTTCATTAAAACTAACAGCCTCAGTTTTATGAGAATGGTACCAAGTGATTAAACACTTCCTCTGCTAAAATGAATGTACTGTATATTACATTTGTGGGAGATCACTAAACTCTTCAGGGTCATAGTACCTGGAGGATTGTGAGGCAATCGGGTTTGATCCAAGGGGAGGTCAGGTCTAATTCTTTGCATCAAGAGCTCCTCCTGTTAAGGAACTTTCAAGGGGTAGACTATACTATACTGTAGATAAATCACAACCTTCTTTATTTATTGACTAGTACTATGTACATACCTCCTATATTATTTTCATACTGCTCTGTACAGATTTTAAACTTGTGTAAGAAATTATAGTACAGTATTTTATTAATGGATAAAACAACCCTGGCCATTCACATTTACCCATTAATTATCTTAAACTGATGCATTCACTACATTCTCAGTTTTGTGTGTTTAATCTATAATGATTAATGGTCATGTCAGTGTATTTGTAGGAGTGGAAAGGTTAGAAAGCAATTTTTTTTTTTTTTTTTTAAGAAATTACTGATCAGTTATGAGTTAGGGCAAGGGAGGGGAGAACATAACATTTATAAACAAAGATTTACTTTTAATATAACAAATGGTGTATAAATAATCATAGCTTCAAAAAAAGATATAGATGTAGGAATATGACTTAGTTTTCAATTTGATTACAGGTACAGCACTGATGTATGAATTCCATTGATTAATAGAAAAAAAAAGTGGTAATGGCAGATTAAAATTCACAGAGCTCTCCTCCATTAGGTTGTGAGAACCCCCAACACTAGCTTCTGTCAGGGACCTCAGATATGTGAGGCATCTAGGAAGCATTATGTTTAGTTATCAATATTGTGCTAGATAAAGCCAATGACTTACTTGTTAGTTGTTATCACTTAGAGCATTTGGGAAGATAAATTCCTTTGTTCTCCATAGCGATGTGGCCGGTCATAGCGCTAGTCACCTTGTACCATAATGTAAATAACATTAGCAGTCTCAGCCTATCTGAACTATTGCTCTTTTTTATGATGGGACATATTTGACTATTTTTTCATAATGAATAAGTTCATGAGATGTATAGTCTATTTATGATAATTGTAATAAATTATTGTTATGCCTTTGAAGTTTGATTATCCTGTGTACTAGTAGACTGACTGTCATAATTGTACTAATACAGTAAAACCTTGATTTAACGAATTTCAGATTTACTAGACAGAAGTCAGTTATTTTTACAGACTTGGGTCAATTCATTTCAGATTTAATGATGTCCATTATTTTTACAAAAAATTCTGGATTCAATAAGCAAACTGTAAAATCCACAATTATGAGCTATTGTTGCAGTTCATGAGGTAAATGTACTTTCAGATTTAGCAAACTTGGTTCCTTAAATCCAAAAATTGTTAGCTACTATTAGTCATGGAAAAATATTCTTAAGTTTGAATTCAATTGACAATCAGATTTAATGAACACCCCCTCCCTTCCCCCATTAAATCAAGGGTTCACTGCATTTAGAATATATTTAACAGTGTTTAGTCTATAAAGGATCTAGTTTGGAACACAACTGCTGCTCATGGAGTGTGTGGGATAATCTTATCTACAGTTGTCTTCCATACCAGACAAAACAGTGAGAGACTAAAATTCAGATAATGTACCTATGGAAGCAAGTATGGCAAGCTGTTGAAAATTCAATATTTTGCAAAGTGTAAAACTTGTAAAATGCCAGAAACCTTAATGTCAGAAAAAGGAATGATGTTGATTTGCTGGTGCTATATACTTACCAGCACATACTGATGTAATAACATATTGTACTCAATATATAGCAGTAAAATACACAAAATAGAGTAGAATGTAATAAAACTAGACAAATATTCAATATGGCAATACTTTAACAATTACAATACATTTTGCTATTCTTTAAGGCAGTTGCTGGTCCCCACCTCAAAAAAAAAAAAAGTTAAAATTACAACTAAAGCACAGTAATTAAATATAGCAAAAAATAACAGCTGTACTATACCATATTAATTCTACGAGGCCAACCCACACTCGTTGGAATGCCAGTAGAGGTCTCCCCAGACATCAAGCGTGGCTGAGTTAAGAGGGATGCTTTATTTCTCTTGAAGCTGGCTCTCCAGGTATCAAGAACTGGATGAAGGGTGGTGCCCCCACTACCACTGGTGGAGCCTGGGGGCACTATGGTGACGCCAATAGATGTCCCCAACTCTCCAAGTGTCAAGCTTGGCTGGGTTGAGAGGAGCGCCAGACTTGGAGATATGAACATGGTAGCCATGGGAGGCGAGCCAATTGACCATCTGCTGGAGTGCACTGGCACGGCAAGGGGCATGGTACTTGTGGCGGTTGTTGGCCACCACTGACCACTCCATGAAGATATAGGGTGTGAAGTGCTCCATCAAGAAGATCTTACCACCCAGCACTGCTCCACACTCCCACCCTTCTGTGAGGCCAAGGAAAATCTTTAATGAAGTGAGACTAGAAAATACAAAGTATATTAATACAATTTTATTGAAAAAAAGAAAAATCAAACCAATCCACCAAACAAGAATTTGGTGCTGGGAAAAAGGAAAAATTAACCATAATCAAATAAAAACAACACATACACAAGCACATTTATAAAGATTTGATATATAAACATAGAAGAGTACAGAAGAACCCTGCTTATATGGTGGGTTAGGTTCCAGGTTTAAGGTAGTAGGTTGGTAGACAGCAACCACCCAGGGAGGTACTACCGTCCTGCCAAGTGAGTGTAAAACGAAAGCCTGTGATTGTTATACATGATGGTAGGATTGC